ATATGATTTATCTCCTTCCCAGGGCATTCAAAGTCTTCCTATATTTTGTAACTTCATTTCCAGTGGAGGGACTTGAGGAATTCCTAGGAGAGAACAATTTCTTGGGAGCAACAGAGGCAGCAGTCCAGCCAAATCTGACCCCTGAGTGGGTACTGCAGCATGCTCCCAGATGTGGTGCAAAACTGTGCAACTAGTGAACGTGCTGCACAAAGAGAGCCCAGGGCTTGGCCCCTGAGGTGCATGGGGACAGATCTGCTGCTACATTTCACAGAATCACAGAATGATAGGGGTTGGAAGGGATCTTTGAAGATCATCCAGGCCAACCGCCCTGCCAGAGTAGGGTCACCTAGAGAAGATTGCACAGGAACACATTCAGGCAGGTTTTGAATGTCTCCAGAGAAGGAGACTCCACAACCTCTCTGGGCATGCTGGTCCAGTCCTCTGGTACCCTCACAGCAAAGAAGTTTTTCCATAAGTTTAAGTTGAACCTCCTTTGTTCCCTTTTGTGACCATTGCCCCTTGTCCTGTCACTGGGCACAACCGAGAAGAGTCTGGTCCCATCCTCCCGACACCCGCCCTTTAGATATTTATAAGCATTAATGAGGTCCCTATTTCTTCAAGTAGCTTTTACTATTTGTATGTCTAGCAGCTTGTGTTAAAAATTTGATGAGAAATGGGAAAGCCTCTAAAATTACCATTTGAATTGCTCTTGTTATTTATTGCAAATGCCTTACCAGTAGATAACTCCAGCTTCCAGAGTTTCCTATGCTCAAAAAGACAGCTAAAAGTGGAGGCTGACCTGGGGATGTTGAAAATATGGCATAGCCAGCATCTCTCACTTCAGAAAAGGTGTTTTCTGCCTGCAGACTTCTGAGTAGGTTGCTGTGTGGTTGGCAAGCATGCAGTGTAAGGGCTCCTGGCCTCCTGAGATGACAGCCAGCCCTGCGTAGGGTGCAGGGACTCACACCTGCAGAAACCATGCCTTCCCCCTGAGAGCTGAGTGACAGAGGAGCATGGCCTTGGTGATGAGGTGGAAACATCAAATGCCTTGTAGTGGATGGTGCTGCTGCATGTAGTGTGGGTTTGGATTTTAAATGATGTAGCCTTTCTTTGAACAGCCAGTCTTTTTACTGTCACCTTATCCTTGTAGAGGATTGTAGAGTTGACACAGCTGCATGCAACTGCTTCCTCTTCTTGCCATCCCTTCCAGCCCTCCCCTGCCCAAAGACACTGGGTGTTATAGAGAACAGACTTTTGAGGCAAGGTCTTCTCTACTCTTTAAAATGGGCTCCTGCTACAAGGCAGAGCCATATTTTGCTGAGTTAAGCATGGGAACAGCTGTATGATGTGTTGGTTGTTTTTTAAAAAGTTGTGGTGATGGCTGATGCACTGATTGAGACCTTTCTCTTCATGATCTGCACCTTTTCCTCACTCATATTGTGTTTAAATATATTTTCATTATGTTGGACATTTATTTACGTGATTTTAAGTTGAAGCTTTGCATAGCTTAAGGCTTGTAGCTTGTTTGATGTGTAATAGCAGACAACTAAAGGTTGTGGTTTGTTCTTCACGTCAGAATGCAGTTTGTTTCCCTGGTTTTAACTATGTCACATCCTCTTCAGGGTAGTGTACAAACGGATGGTTTGTTTTCACTGAGCTCTTTCGGAGAGAGTAGAGGCGGTGTCCGTCTGTGAGGCAAATCAGCTGCGTGTTAAGATCCCAGAAGCATCAATGAAAAGAAATTATTTAAGTGTACAACTGAAAACAGGGACTATCTGGGATGGATGATCCTAAACTGAGATAGTTCTCACTTCTTTGCAACTATATCCAGGCCCTTCGTGAGGACGGAGCAGGAAGGGAGCTCCAGGTACATCTCTGTGGTTCCCTGGGGTGCAGGAGCCGACACGTAAGCAGTGACTGGGACCAGCATCCACGTTGGACCAGCTGTGTGTGTTAACATCATTCTACTCATCCCCAGGACTGCGAGTATCAGAAAACTGGAGCATGCTGGCACGACTGCTGTGTATCTCCCATGCTCCTGTGGTTGCAGGGCTCTTCTCCAGGCTGAAATCTGGGTAGCTTTCCTCTGGCCTCAGCATTTGTTGGGATGAATCCGAGCGTGAGCGGTGCCGTTCCCCAGCTGGAAGGCTGAGGCTAATGGAAGAGTGACGCAAGTATTACACGGTGCTGTGGCAGCCACTGCCGTCAAGGCTGAGTAAAAATTTTAATTTATTTTAATGTAGTTATTGAGGCATTTTAATTCCATCAAAGGGAATAACACAAGACAATCTACAAATATTCATTTGCTACTTTTAAGTGAATTTGATTCAGCTGTGCTTGGTTTCTCCTTCTTGGGCTTTACTTTGAGACTTCTCGCTTACAGGCACAAGTATTCAAGGACTGCGAACCTTAAAAAAATACAGTCTAAATTCTGTTTTTCATACATGAATATTTAAACAGAGTAATATACTCTGTTCTTTCTGTAAGGCCCCATTTTTAACCATTAATTCCTGTTCTTCTGAGCTATTAAATCCCATATATATGAGACTTGTATGCATTTTTTAAAAAGACAGTTCTCTGGGAGAAGTTCCAATATGACAATATTCTATTTATGAATATTTATAGACCATCAAAATTGGTGAATACTGAATCTCCTGATAAACATTGTGGAGGGTTTTTTTTAACTTTTCTTTTGAAAGAGACCAAAAAATTATGTGCAAATTGGCTCAAATTCAGTACATAATTCTAGTCAAAAAGCATATTTTTAATTTTTTGGTTAAAAAGAACCAAAACAACTTTCAAACTTTTTGATTTAAAGCAACTTTTGCATGCATAATTTATACAAATTGGGAAAAAAACCCTAAAACCCAAACCTTTTGACAGTATTGAATAGCATGAAGATATTTCAATTGTGCCAAAGATTTTAAGTGAAAAAAAATTAAATTGGAGAGTTTTTTAATATAAGAAGAGTTATGTTGCCTGTTGCACCTTAGTAGCAGAATACTGATCAATATAGTTGCACTGGCATTGTTTCCAGGTTGCAATGAAAGCTTTTCATCCAGATGCATCAGTGGTTTTTATAGAACTGTGAAGAAAACCATCAGGCTTGTCTGAATGTGCATACGTATCGCACTGTGTTAAAGAAAAACATTGCTTCTTGCACTTGGCTCACGAATGTGGCAGCATTTGTTCGTTCTGTGCTACAAGTGTGGCAGTGTTCTGGTTTTTCTTCTGTGCACCAGGTGTCTTCGCTTGATATATTTTATGTTTTAAATGAAGTTTTCAATGCTGCATAACTGTAGCCTATTACTTTTACAGCAATTGATACCAGATGAGGATTTATGTTTCTGTGTGCACAGTGAACCTGGGCTTCCTTTCCTCCTCCTGTCAGCACATGCCGAGAAGCATGCCTATATTTAAATATGGGTGTGAACTGTGCATGATCTAAATAGCCCAGAAGAAAAGTCCTGTTGCAACACATAGGATATTTCTGAATCAACCATCTCACAGAGACATTTCGTTGTCTGATGTGTATTGGGTTTTGACTTGGAAATGAAAACAACGTATCAGTATTTCCCATGGGATGGAAACAAAATTTTCCAGTCATCTCTAGCTGCAGGTGACTGATTCAGAAATTAAAAGATTAAAGAGATACAAATGACAGCTTAAAGGAGAGAATGACAAGAGGTCTATCAAGACGACAATTTGAAGGGATGCAGAGGCAAGAGATGGAAAATGAAATAGATTTCTGGGCAGGCTACAGGGAGCCTCAAGACACAGATTTGGCCACTGATTTCTGACAGTAAGATCAGAAAACTGCAGTCAGGATATGGCTGCTGTGGTGCTGTGGAAACAGGCACACACTTCAAGACCTCGGCTTTATCCCCCAGCTGGTTGAGGGCACAGCAGTGCATTGTTTGTGAACCTTTCTGGTAGTAACAGCACCCACATGAGTACCTACTGCCGTAGGGTGCTCGTCCTTGAGACCTGAGCAGAAGAGACTGGATATCTGACTGTAGAAATACATAAGTATATTATTCAGTACAGTGTAGTGCAAGTTTGCCATGACAAATTGAGGTAATTTTTGTATGACATCTGACTGTAGGAATATATCAGAAATATTCATAGCCAAAACCATGTTCAAGCAAGAGCTGAATGGATTTTCATCAGAATTCTACCCTGAGAACCATATATATATTTTGTTTGAAAAGCTTTTGAATAGCATGGAGTTCTGCTTTTTTGTGAGAAGCAGAAAACAGTGTGTTGGGATGACAGCACTGTCTCAAGCTTACCAATGAACCGCTGTCCTTATGCCAAAAAGGAGCTAGCAATTTATAAGATATGGTTTGTTAAAAAGTATGTATAGTTGTAGTTTCTAGATGCCTTTCTAGTTCACTGTGTCTATGAAAGCAGAAAACAAACCTGTATGTTTTTGATTTCTGGCAATAGGATGGTTGGCCTCTTTGTGCTACTATAGAAGTGGATTTATCCTTCCAGAAATTAAAAGCACACAAGGAATAGGAATAATTTTCCAAATAGTTGATGAAGTCTAGATCCTGAATTTTCCTACGCATGCCATTACCTTGGTTTTTCAGAATGAGTTGTAATGCATGCATGTTTGGTCTATCAAAACCTTTTGTTCATCTTCTGCAGGTAAGTCTATGAAGCGTCAGTAAGAGGTCTGTAACTATCTTTGTGCTAGCTAGCTGGGCATGAATAGCGAGCAGCTTGAAATGCCTGTAAAATGGCATCAGAGGTCCTGGATTTTTAAAACTTTTTTTGTGAACAATAGTGGGTTTTTAATCTTCAAAACACTTTTTGCTTTACTCTCTTTGGTACAAAAATGATACTTGATGTGGGGTCTTGTTTAGAATTTCTGTTTTCAAAGGAAAGAGAAGTTTTACTACGTGTTCTCTTTGAAGAGATTTGCACAACAATTTGTGACTACATGCCACTTTCTTTGCCTTCACTTTCTGCAGGGCTGATTCCTTCTGCCAAAGATGGCTCAGACGTGGGTAGTTCTGGCTGCACCCCTTCTCTTGCTCGTAAGTCTGGTTGAAGGGCCAGGTAAGTGTAGCTGTTCTATCATCCAATCACCTCTCCCCACCTAAGAAGGGGAATCAGGAAAAGGAGAGAGAAGACCTGTGTGTTGAAATGAAAACAGATTTAATAAACTAATAATAATAAACTAATAAAGAATAATAATAAAAAACTAATATTAATAACTATTAATAGAAAATACACAAAGTTATACTTGGCTCGTATAGCGGTCACAGGCTGCGGGCTCCCAGCGGTGAATGCTAAACCACAAACACTGCGAGCACCACAGCTCCCGTGTGAGTGCAATGGTCATATCAAGAGCGGGTAGGCCTCAGGAGAGGAATGATGGGTGAGACCCTCCAGGGGTGATGATTAGCAGGGAAAAGAGGGCTGTCCCCAGCAAACTCCCCAATTTCTAGTGAGCATGATGTTTGTGGTATGAAATAATTCTGTTAGCCAGCTTGGGTCATCTGCCCTGGCTTTTTCTCCTCCTAGCTTCTGCACCTGGCTAAATCTAACTCAAAACTGGTGAATACCTTGGTCACTGTGGCAACCTGCATACCAGTGCACACCAAAAACTGAAACAAAGTGTCTTACCAACTTTGTTCCCATTGACTTGAGTGCTGTAGTCTACTCAAAAAATGTGTCTTTCCTGAATAGAAAAGTGATTCTATTATTCTAACCCAATGAAACCAGGACAGTGAGAAAGTTCCAAAACTACACGCAGCACTCTTTGGTACTCTATTTCCAACTCTACGGTACACTGAAATGCCGTAGTTCACCAGGGGAGATTTTGCTTAATGTTTAATGTGAACACAAAAGTGATGTCATGTCAGCTGGCCAAATAATTGTGTGCCTTGCAGAGTGGCACAGGACGATATATCTGATAGGAATTCAACACAGGTCATCTGAAGACCTATCTTCTGTTTAACTGGGAGAATATCAGGAGAGCTGTGATTTTTGGTCGAAAAGGGATCTACTTATGCCCCTTGCTAAATACGCCTGATGAGCTACTGTACCAAGTTTTAACCTTGTTACAGATGTATGTTCCACCGCTATTCCTGGTTTTACTTGCACTTCAACCAAGGCGCCTAATTAAATAGCACAATATTTTTTAAAAAAGGTAGTTTCCTTTCTCTCTTGCCCTCCCCACTAGTTTTTCAAAGCCCATATTAAAGTGATAGAAATACATTGATTAAAAAGATATGGAGGATTTCCAGCTCATCAGCATGCATCACATACCTGCACAGTGTCCACAGCAGAAAGACACCATCTCCATTGCATTTCCAGACTTCAAAGAGTGGCAGCAGGAAACTAGACCTGGAAATGGAATACTACTTGTATGTGGTATTGCTCTGTGGACACAGAGCAATGTGTCCACAAGGCTGCAGTACAGTAAGAAAGTAGAAATTTTAAAGTGTGAAGAAGTCAAGAGTTTCCTATGCTTTGATGATGGCTATAGCATAATTTTTAATGTCTTTTTTCTTCTTATGTAGCTTACAACATGGTGAGTGTGGAGGCTGGTCATGAGGCTGTGTTGAGTTGCCCTTATGTCTCCAGGGAGTCTTTGCTAGTGGTGACATGGAAGATGAAATGCAGCACGTGCTGCTTGTTGGCCTATAGAAGTGATCACAACAAAACAAGGAAGTTAAACTGCAGTGAGAGGATGACATGGAGATATTCTCCAAACAGTGACCCTGCTCTTCGTATCTACCCTGTGAACCTTGGTGATGAGGGAAATTACACCTGTGAAATTGTCAGCAGTGCAGGGAATTTTCTTTATTTCTCCCATCTGACTGTGATAGGTAAGACACACCTTGTGAGGTTTTTTTTGTGTGTGTGTTTGTGGATATAATTTGATTTGTTGGTAAAAGACCAAATTCATTTTGGTTGCATACTGAAATTGAAAAGAAAGAAGTAAGCTGATTTAGTCTGGCTATTTGGAGACGGGAAAAAGGCACTAGGAGTTAAGCAATAGGACTTGTTTATTCTATGGAGAAATAACCTGTGGGATTTATGTTTGTTTTGTTTTTTTTTTTAACTTTTGACTTATGAACAGGTGAGGTTTTAAAATGCACAAATCCAACAGTCTGCATAGTGTCTGAGAGAGTTCTTTGGGCGTAACATGGGTTTTGAATGTCGTGTGACTGTTCACACAACCAGTACTATATGCTCTTGGTTAAGGCTAACAGAAGATATCAAATAAACGTTGTTGCTCTAAGCTGAGCTAGAGGATGCTGAATCAAAATTCACAATGAGGTCAATGTGTGTTTTGTCTGGTTAAGAGCTGAGTAAGAAAAAAGAAATATTATGAAGACACTATCTGGAAATATTTCACTCTTCCAGAAATTAAAATAAAATTTAATTTAATTAAAACAAAAATTAGTCTATTTTCAACATACGGAGAAACTAAAGAATATTAGGAAACATAATGAATGCATCAAATGATCTTTTTCATATAGTCAGGTAAACTATCTCTAGGTTCCCATAAATTAAGAAAAAAAACAAACATAGGAGAAGATTTTGTATTCTGAGCCTATTAGTTAAGCCTTCTGAATATAAATAAAAATTAGAGAAAATTGATTTTGGAACTCTAGAATTGCTATCATTAATTTTCATCACTTGATTTTTTTTGTTCTTTCCTGCACAGTCTTGACCTTCTGGTAATGGCTTAGGCACTGTCTGAGCTTTTGCCTGTTTTGTCAAATGTAGAATATGAGTTGTTGGACTTCAGGCAGAACAGCTTTGTCTGATTCCTCCTTTATTTCCCCACTACCAAATTCCTGATTCTACCTACCCAATCTCCTAAATATTTTAGCTGGCACTTCAGCAAGCTGTGTTTTCTTCAGTATGTATACTGCTGTACTCATAAAACTTCATTTAATCCACCCCTCTCTGTTATCCCTTCTTCTCCTGTTACTACTGTACTCACCTTTTGGAAAACATGAGGAAGCAGTACTTTTAGAAGCAGCTAGGTACTTTTGGACATATTCACCTTGGACTTTTTGATGTATTTTGTTCCCCAAAGATCATTGATGCTAATATTCCAAGATATTTTAGCATCTCTTGAATTGGTCATGCAAACTAAAAAATACCACCTATTTTTCAGTTTCTCAGTTGGAGATTTTATACTGAACCAGAAATAATGGTTGTGGCCTTTTTTCTTCTTCTTCCTTAGTCCCTCCTACAGTGACTCTGACTGTTGACAAGAGCAGGGTGGCTGTCTGTCAAGCATCTGCTGGAAAGCCAGTTGCTGAAATCTCCTGGATCCCTCCAAGTAATCACAGTGCTGAGGAAGAAGTCAATCACCCTAACGGAACAGCCACCAGAGTGAGCTATCTAGGCTGGGTCAACAGCACGCATCCCACTGTCACCTGCCTGGTTACCCACCCAGCTACAAACCAGACTCTGTCCCTAGACCTGTCAGGTAAATAGCATCATTCTGTAATTACTCTTCATCATGCTCGTGTGCTTCCTTGTGCTGCTCTATGCTGCTAGGCCAAAGTGTGTGTTGATAGAGAAATGAATGATTTTTAGTTAGTCAGTTGAAACCAAATGTTTCGTGGCATTGTATGGGGAAGCTTCCAGTGTGTGCTTCTTTCTATCCCTCTTCTGTTTTATAGGAGGTCCCCATTCTTCTTGAACGGTGGTGGGTTAACCTTGGCTGACAGCCAGATTTACACCAATGTGCTCTGTTATGGAGAAAGCTGTGATGGCAAGCTCATGGGTCGAGATAAGGATTGGGAGATCACTCAGCAATTACCTTCACAGGAAAAACAGACTCAGCTTGGGGAAATTAATTTAATTTATTGCCAATCAAATCAGAGTAGAATAGTGAGAAATAAGAATGAATCTAAAAGCACCTTCCCTCCACCTCTACCTTCCTGTGCTCAGGTTCACTTCTCTACCTCCTCCTTCTGAGTGGTGCAGGGGGATGGGTGTTGCACTCAGTGCATTGTTATGCACTTCCTCTCTGCACTACTTCCTGCTCACTCTCTTCCCCTGGTTCAGTGTGAGGTCCCTCCCACTGGAGACAGACCTCTGCTAACTTCTACAACATAAGTCCTTCCCATAGGCTGCAGTTCTTGATGAACTGCTTCTGCATGGGTCCCTTCCATGAGGTGCAGTCCTTCAGGAACAGACTGATCCAGTGTGGATCCCCCATGGGGTCACAAGTCCTGCCAGCAAACCTGCTCCCATGTGAGCTCCCCATGGGGTCACAGCCTCTTTCAAGCATCCATCTGGTCTGACATGGGGTCCTCCATGGGCTGCAGGTGGATCTCTGCTCCACCATTAACCTCCATGGGCTGCAAGGGCACAGCCTGCCTCACCATGGGCTTCACCACAATCCACAGAGGATTCCTGCTACAGCACCTGAGGCATCTCCTCCCTTTCCTTCACTGACCTTGGTGTCTGCAGAGTTGTTTCTCTCACATTTCCTCACTCCTCTCTCATGACTGCCATTGTGCAGCAACTTTCTGCCCTTTTTAAGTGTGTTACTGCAGAGGTGCTATCACCGTTGCTGGTTGGCTCAGCCTTGGCTAGCAGTGGATCTTGGAGCCAGCTGGCATTGGCTTTATCAGACACAGGGGAAGCTTCTAGCAGCTTTTCACAGAAGCCACCCCCATAAACCCCCTGCTACCAAAACTTTGCCATGCAATCCCAATACACTGTTTCAGTGATCTTTTTAATAATTGATAATGCAAAAGTTGCTTTCGGCAGCCACTGTGGTACAGCTCACTAATTTTTGATGTGAAGCTTTGAACCTCTGGAGCTGAATTTTGTCCTGCTTCCCACAGTGGTGATGGTCTGGACAAAAATCCCTTGGAGAATATCTGTCTGTGACTTTCAAGTGATCTTTTCCAGGGCCAAAGGTACTAAAGGGTAAAATTCAGCATCTCAGCTGGCTGTGCTGGACCTCTTAGAAGTCTCTGCCAGTAGGATTTGTAAGAAGAGCTAAATAAGTGCTCATATCACCAAAGTATCTCAGTAGAGGCATGAAGGATAGAATTCAGCATAGACCAGAAATTAGTAACAGCATTTTGCAGGGATGACCAGACAGTTCTGTTGTAGTGCTAAAATAATTTGAAGAAAGGGAGATCGTGTAAGCAGATGAGTTGAAAATATAAGTGTATTTGTATGTATGCGTGGCTGAGTGTGTAAGGCAGCTTCCTATTGCTGGTTGGCATCCAGACATCTCATCTGTATCTCAGCCTGTTTGAGCTGTTGGGTGAGAGGCTTAGCTTTCTCCACTGGTTAAGGTAGGTACTAACATCATGTACTCAGTGGATACTAACATTTAACTCTGTAACTTTCTTTTCTCTTCTCTTAGACACTTCCCCCAAGCTTCACTATGTCTTGATAGGAGTATCTGCAAGTGTTGCTGCTGTCAGTGGTGTGACTTTATGCTTGATTTTCAGGTGCAGAGGTAAGTCATTCCATGAGCCTAAAATGCATTACTATTCCAGTGCTAACTATGTGCAGGTACAAGGACATGTACTTTATTGCTGAGAGTGGGGTGGGAGGCAAGGATTGAGGAAATGCCCATACATGATGCATTGTCCTTTTGGAAAAGTCCTTATAAAATAAGGGGTGGAACTTTAAAACTAGTCCGGAGTTTTGTAAAAGCCACAGTTATTATGATATTAATGCATTAGATATATGGCAGAGAGTCACCCAGGATAAAAAGTATTCTTTCTGAGAGTAGGGTACGTTCTGAGTTTTTAGAATTATTTTGATCATTCTGCATCTACCAACATAAATGACAGTTCACAAACTAGCCTAATGACTAGGGACAAACAACACCCTTGTTTTCACCAGCAATCATAGATTTTTCCTTGAGTAAGTGTAAGAATAGGCCAAATGAACATACTTCCCTCTGGTACACTCGCAGTTTCACAGTGGGTCAGGCTCATACTGAATCATTTGCTACTAAAAACTCAGATGATGGTTTGCTACTCTTGAAGTCAAGTAAGATGGCTGTGATGGGGTATGAATGGAGTAGAAGCCCAAGTGGAAGCTTCAAATGAGAGGAAGAGAGAGTAGCAGGCTGATGGCAAGAGTGTTCTCTGGAGAGCAGAAGATGAAGCACTGGGAGAAGGCAAGGTAGAGGCGAGTGCACTGTAAATGGAAGGAACTTGCAGAGAATCAGTGCCTGTTTTACTCCCCTCCATTGGCTTAGTTCTACTCTAGCTTCACTGCTTGCCTGGGTTTCTTCATGCTCAGTGCCTTTCAGATTATTCCCCTTGCATTGAGCATATTACTTTGCAGATGTATCTCATGAACCAGGTCAGAACAAATGGGGTGAAGGAGGGTTGGCAAGAGGGGACAATGAAGGGAGGTGTGCACTGGAAGAGCTGAGAAGGCAGGGTGAGGAAAACAGAAAGACAGGGGAAGAAAAGGGAAGGGCAGTTGTCATCAGCAGTGGCAGCACCGACCAGTCCTTGCAGCACTTTGACGAGAGCCTGTACCTGCCGCAGTTTGATGTGCTTCTTTGAGGTAGGTGAGGAGAGGAGAAAATGTGCTCAGATGAGTTCCTTGGTCCAGCATGTCCTGCAGAACTGTGCACTGGACTGAGCCAATTCAGTCCTATCTCCAAGGGTGACCAAAAGTTTCAATGAAAGACAAAATAAAACAATATTGTGTTCAACAGCAGGACATAAAAATTAAGAACTTAACCCATTAGTGTCGCTGTATTTTGAAGAAAGTCTTTCAACAGCTGAGGGCAGCTAGAGGAGAACTCTAGACATAACAGCTGTGCATCTTGCACCATGAAATAATTTTAATTTCTTGACATCCTACTTTCAGCTCTCCGCTTGGCCCGTAGGTCAGCAGTACCATTTGCAGTAAGTGGGCTTTGTGTGTGTGTGTGTGTGTGTGTGTGTGTGGTGTGTGAATTGTGGTTTTTGTGTATTCTTTACTAAAACATGTAATTTTGTTGCAACTTGTCTGCTCCAACAAAACTCCCATTTACTTCTGTGTGCTTGGTGGGGAGAATGAGGAACAGTGTATCTGGGAAGGTGTCTATTGTTTGGTTGGCCCTATCTTTATGTATATCAGGCATAAGCTGAGCAATTGTTTAAGCATTAGATTGAGAGTAGTATAGTGCATTTCCTGTTGAAGAATACTAAAAATTACATTTACAATGCCAGTGTCCAAGCTGAATTTTAAATCTCCCAAAAGTTAATGTTTTCACATTTCTGTTTCACAGAGTAATCTTAACGCTGATCTTTTGCTTAAAAATGTGCATTGCCCTTGATGGCAGAAACCTGCCTGATTAAAGATCAGAAGAAACAGACAGGCATTTTACAATGAGCGAAAATAGTGCACTTCCTTATGCTGTATTACAGACAAACACAGCTATGAAACTTATTTTTTAAGTCATAGGTCAAACATTCAGAAGCTAGGAAAAAGCAGTGATAAATTTGCCACTGCAACTTTTACTTCCTCTCTAATTCCAGTGTGTTTGGATACATATTTAACAGCATGATAATACACTGCTCGTTCCTCAGGGCTTCTGCCTCATTTAATGCACACTGAAAGAGCAATTATTTTATATTTTGCTTTCTGCGCACGATGAAATTAACGGCTGTGTGCCTTGTTTGTTGCAAACTAGTCAAAAAGTGCTCTTCAGTTAGAATGATTAATTTCCTGATGTGCTCTTCTGTGGCATTCAGGACAATTTGACTGACAGGAGTGGGAGTTGCAGAGATCAAAGTCAAATGCTTCCAGTAATTTCAGGTGCCTAAATTGGATTGCCTGTGGCCTGCCTGTTTTTCTTTCAGAGAAGTTAGCATTGTTCATTATCACCTATTTTGCTGAAAATGCCAACATTTCAAAATCTGTTTCCAGATTAAGAAAAAAAGATTAAAAAAGCTGTCCTGTTTAGGCTTTGTGAAGGCGGTTGTTGCATCCCTCTGTCAGTTCAAGTTTCACACTTTGTGCCCTACCCCTTTGCTCACAGAGCTTAGAGAAATAACTTCACACTTCTTTAGCAAAAGTAATGTTGCCTACAAGATTTCTTCTAATCTCTTTTGTTTGGACTCAATAAGTATGATGGTTCCACAAAATTCTGCAGTGTAATATAATGGTACATGTTTTTCTTTATATTGCAGACTACGAACTTCAGGTCCACACCATCACTTGAGAAAACAGGAGTGACCGATCCTCCTGTCTTATCAGAGAGTATCTATCAGAATTACAATCCAGGAGAGATATATATGAACTGTTAACAGTGTAGGCACGAGTAGTCTAATACCAGCTCAGCTACTGATGATACCTGGTTACTTGAACTTGTACTTCAGCTAACAAATCTCAGACTTTACTGCATATGAGGCCAGCAGAGCACTCAAAACTGCATCACAAAAACCTTTGGTTTTCCTGACCTGAAGACAGTGGGGGAGAGCAACCAGTTCTAGTAATTTATTTATCTCTTTCTCTAAATATCAGTACAGTTCTTGAAATTTTTGAAACTTTTAAAGACAGAGTTGGGAAAATACCTATCTGAATTTTGTTTGAAAATGTTCTTCGAGGTATGCGTCTTTCTTCAAATCAATAATTGACATATTTTTGTGCCACACTAACAGAATATTGGTGAAAATGTAGCACTTCTTTCCATTTTAGCAACTGGATTATCTTTGCAATTTTATGTTCAAAACCAGGAAGTGACACAGGGGACACCAAAACACAGAAGATCAGAGAAACACACTCAGCAGACATGCAGAAATAAAAGAGAGGGTTTTTTTCCGGGTAGATAGTTACATGTGGCAGGTGACAATCTGGTATCAACTGGTATAATCTTTATTTATTTTTTAATGTATTTCTTTTCCAATTAAACTTTCTGTTTGCATTGATAAGGGGGAAAAAGCCAATTTGAAATTGTACTTGATATGGAAATGAGAAATAGCAATGAGCAATTTTCTAAGATTAATTTTAAAGTAAACTTGCAAATGTTTACCTGAATTATTTCTGGAGCTATTTGGGTAAATGCTTATTGACCACTTACAAGCTGAGGTCACAGCATGGTTTTTCTGAGAACAGAAGTGTTAAGTTGTGAAAAATGCAGATGGTGTGGTTTTTTGAAACCAACAACCCCCACCCCCACCCCAACCATTTATTTCTTCTCAACTCTGTGTTCCCAAGCTGAAAAAACCTGAACCCATGGATTGGTTGTTAATTTCAATTTTCATTCATCAGACTTGTCAAACACTTTCTAACACCAATGCAGCAGTAAGTATACTCAAATGTGTGTTTTGAACAGCCTTTGCCTGCTTATTGCTGGAGGAAGTCACCTTTGCTCCTTCAATGTTCTTATCATCAGGATTTCCCAGTGCCTTTTAATTGCACTTTATCACTTCAAAATAGACATGGGTGGTGGGCATCTACTTGACAACCTCTAGCCTTTCATTTTAGTCAAAAAGGCGTAAAGAGCAACTCTCTGCCTTAATGAAAAGTGGAAGGCGATCTCTTCACACCTGCCCGGTAAGTGAACAGAGCCTTCTTGTGGTCTTAAGTGTCAATGATGGGTTACCATCTCAGAGCTGTGCACAGCTTCGTCATGTCATCTGTGAGGAAGGAGATGCACCATTTCACCTATACAGCCTCTGGAAGAAATAAGTGACAGATACCTCAAAATTAGTTGAAACAGGTTTTTGAGAAGTGGTTTCCCAGTTCTGCTGGCCCACAGCTGATGGGCATGATCCAGCATCCTTTTTTATTCTCCATATCAGCCAGAACCTTTCATAGTAATGGTGCTGCCAAGGACTTGGTTGTCACTGGAAGCCTCCAAAATAGGGGAAAAAATCTCTTGTTTCTCAGGGAACTCACCAGTTGAGTCTAAACTTGGGCTCCTAGGCTGGCGTTGCTCAGTGTCACAAGTGACCATGGATTGTTTCTGTGGACAACAACAGCAATTTTGGTCAGAAGCTGGATCGAAGGATGACATGACTGTCAAAATGAAGAGAGATACGCTGTGGAGCAGTCTGCTTTTGGCAGTCATGGTGCAGATGTGTTGTGATTTTTAGGGTACAAAGCAAAACCTCATAATTTCTTTGCACCAAATGAAATGTTGAAGAGAAGATCTAAAGCAGATAGACAGATGATAGTGCAAGTGGTAAAACCCTCTGGAGAAACATCACCGTTATAATTAGCCCTGGCTGAAAAGCATGGTTTTTTTGCTCATGATTTTATTTTCTCCTTTAATTTGTATATGATGGAATTGGTCCAGTCACCTGCAACATGTCAGCATTTCCTAGAAATTCTGAGGAGACTTTTTTTGATGTACTGAAACAAGACGATGAGCAATGGCAATGAGATAAATCTCGCTGTGCTGCAGGTACTCAGCAAAATGGGCTTTCCTGACAGGTCCACAGCCCTTAACAGTCACGTGGACTATGGCTTGCCTGATTTTCTTATTTCAGGAGCAAATCCTGCCACAACCTCTCAGAAAATTAGCTTATAGCATTGTAGCCTAGTCAGGCTTTGATCGTCACCTGTTTACTGCCAAAAAAAAAGCTCAAGTTATCAACCCACAGCTCAGGCAAACCCACATGTTGCAGGCATTAAAAGTCCTCAGCTGCCTAATTGCTGTATCTTCCTTCTGCAATAAAAATTGCCCTTGTGCTTTTCGAACTTGTTGTGTATGATTAATAAAACTTATTAGGCCAAAGAGAATAATGTGGCTGGTGGGGGTGATTGCAAGAAAGGCTGGGGCATGAATAACTTTTCTAGGCGGAACACAATCATTGAACAAGATTGGTTAATTTTCTGCTCATCTTTTGTATGTGTTATAATACTGGCACAAGTGGTAGGTAGCTTCAGATACAGAGTCTGCTTCTTTTTTAGCTATCTGCAATTTGCCGGAGCTTTTGACTACAGGAGTATGCATTACTTCCAAGCTGCCAACAGGTGCTAACTATTCTAATGGGCCTGTCAGCTCTGCTAATAGCATCCTCTTTGAAAGGAGGAAAATGGGATTAGCCAAGCAGTGGGCCCGTGCGTATGCTGAGATAAAAAAAACAACCTTGGTGCTTGGGATAAGACGTAGAGGTCTGTGAGTTGGATGATTTTGTATGGAGGCAGAGAGAGAAAAATGGGAGACTGGAGAAAGGGGGCTGACAGAGGAGAACGAAAAGAGTAAGAGAGTGAGCATGATGATGGGTTATTGCATCTTAATACTTAATAGAGTGATTAATTACTTTTTCCATTCACACTGCCTGTGACAGGGTACCATAACTGCTGATGGTGACTGGTGAAGGGCAGGCTTTTGTCATATGGGAGGCTCTCTGCACTCTTCTCTCAGGTTGGAAAACTACACATGGACTTTGATGGTTTCCTTTCTGCCTGCCCTCACCAGAGAGCAGTTTGTGTCCCACTTCTTGGTCTTATAAACTGTGCATCAAAGGGCTAAAAGCCATGAGATGCACACTTTGGGGGAGTGAAGGGAAGGAGGGAAAGGCCTGGCACTGCATCAGTGGCTTCCCAGGGGTTTAATCCCATCTCTGTCAGAAAGACTTGTGCTAGGCTTGCAACCAGGTACCACCTCTGCCAACTCCTTCCCATCCAAAAGCAGGGACCTGTGTGCAGCAGTGCCCAGCTGCTGGGCCAGCACGGCCGGGTGGGTGAGGGAGCCTTCCCTGCGCTGCCCAGGGCTTGACCGCAGGGGCTGGTGGCTGCTATAGCTCCTGCCCCAGCTGTGTTCTCTGGGGCTGGCTGCTGAGAAACTGCCTGTGTCCTGCCTAGATTTAATTCTGCAGTGGATCTGTTGAGTGTTTTGAGGATGAGAAGAAAATCACTTAAGCATTTTCTATTGAGCTGATTTTGTAATGGGGATAGGCATCTTGGTGTAATCCAAAGAATAACCATAATTGTGTATACCATGCATATTTTTCCTTAATTACAAAAACACTTTTGGTGATCTTATACTGATTTTATCTGAACTGAAAGCAAATCCAAGAAAGGCAAATGTTTTAGACTGCAAACCTCCACATAGTCTTCTGTGGCCTTGTCAAAATGGCTAGGAAAATGCTGTCTGTTTATTGAATAATGTTGTGGCTTAGGGCTGGGCTGGCCACTAAATGATGGACAGATGCTCTCTATTAACCCCTCTTCCCTCATTGTAAGAGAGTTACCAAAAGGAGATGTGTGAGCTATTTACACATTCTGACCAAAAAATAAATAATAATAAAAAAGACTGGGAGTGTAAGTCCCTGTTCCAGGGATGCTGTGACAGCTCTGCCTTGCCGCTGCTGTTTCAGGTTGACTATTTAGTCAAATGCACAGTAGACTGAACATCACTTTTGCTTTTTAGTACTCGATGTGACTGTAGAGGAAAAATGCTCCTGTTTATTCTGTTGACATTCACTCATAGTGTTTATAGGGCACTCCTGGCAATAGTGATGGTGACTTCTGTCTGATTAATCTGGGAGCAATTTATCTTCTGGTAATAGCAGAAGATCAGTGTTGCAGTGCTGTCGAACAGTTCTTTATTTTCTTTCTGTTGACTGAGTATGGAAAAAAATAGCTGACAAAAAGTTGCGTTTAGAGCCCCATAAAATGGAATGTAACTTCAGATTATGAACACTAATTATTTAAAATCCCAATTTTCAACACTGGGATTGAAATGAAGAATAAATTTTCACATAGAGATTGGAAATGGCAAAAACCTTGGTTTCTGAAGTTGGCATTTCTTTCAGCTGTATTTTTTGGTCTAGCCTTCTTGGCATCATTTGTCATAGCTTTTCTTCTTTGATGAGAAAATAATACTTTCCTTGGTTCTCCTGTAATACCTATAACACCCATGGAATATTGTCCTGTTGATTTTGATGTCTTTGTGACTTAGTCTTTCTGCTTTTGTGAAGCCTGTTTTGTTAATGTTAACTCGTACTCACTTACTTGACTTGGTGTCCACGATCTGTATGCAACTTTCATGTGCTGAAGGCAGAGAAGAGCTCATGATTTAACCAAGTAGGACTTCTACTACATTTTCTATCACTTCTCTATCCTGGCATAGTTTGTGTTTGTGCTCTTAATGGTGCTTCTTTAAGCAATTACCCATTTTTCTTTTCCCTTTATTTCCTTAAAGTTGTCTCCCCATTGCTTTCATGCACTAGTTTTCTCCGTTTGTTGATTTTTATCTTCTCTAAGTATTTTATTATTCAGTTCTCTTTCCTTCTCTTTTTGGCATCAAACACAATTGCATTCTCCATTTAGTTGCTTTAGTAGGTGCTAGATC